CCCGTAAGTCTGACTATATGCTCTTTTTGATGTGATTGTTGGTTGATAACCTCAGAATCTGGTATTTCTTTCAAAATTCTTATTCTTTCTTCTATTAACTCCAATGTTTTTTGGAGATTTTCTTTTTTTTTACATATCTTTCTTGAAGTTGACATTTCTTAATTGTTTTTTAAGATAATCGCCGTTTCATATATCTGCATCCAGAACTCTTCTTGGCTTTCTTCATGGTATTTGAGTTTTAAACTGTTATCTTCGCTGATCTCAAGTAGATTTCGAAAAACTTCATTTGTAATTTTGACAAGTTTATTTTTTGGGTCGCACGAAAACGGGTCCATCATCTAGTTATATAAGTCATCTGAGTCAATGTCTGTAAAATAGTTTACAATACTTTCTTCCAAACCTTGCAAATGAGCAATAAAAATTTCAAAGAAGTTCGTTTGAGGATTGATTTCATTTGTTATAACAAATTCCTTTAATCGAGAGAAATTTGTGAGGTTCCTCTCTTCAACACATACTTTGAAAAATAGACGACTTTAAAATGCATAATGTATTAATGTATGAGTCAGATAAAATTAAATTGTTAGAAGAATTTTTCACTAGAAGTAACAAAAAAAAACAAAATTTGTTTAATTTACTGTTTGTATTTGGAGAACGATTTCCGAAGAAGAAATTGAAACGTCAATAAACGTACTTTAAACGTATAGTTAAATAGTAATTAATTTTTTACGCAAGGTTTTGATTTTATCCATTTATGCTCCTCCTTTGCCTTGAAACAAAGTGGTGGTTTAATTTATTATTTCGAAGATGTCTGAAAGGTATCCCAATTTTAGCAGACAATTGGCATCTTTTAATTCTTGGATGAAAGACTCCTCTGTAAATGTGGTAATCAGTGAATCTTTTAGTTCAAATAGTCTCTCTAAAATTGTTCCCCTCGATAGCCACCAGACCTCTGTGTGGAGCAAAAGATTGAAGTGATCCATACCCATATCTTCAGCGGTGAGCTTTAAAAGGCATGCTTGAAGCGGATGGCTCTTCACATGGTTATTATTTTCACAGAATTATTAAATACGCTTTTCAAATGATGCGGCATCTTTTTAGTTGCTAAAGAATGGGAATCTACGATACAATGACTGCTGGAGGCTGTATCTGCCACTACCTGTATTCTAGACACCGCCCCTCTAATTTTACCAACCATTGCAGCCGCTCTATCACTGCAAATATCCACACATTTACGTGGATAGTCTTGAAAATTTCTTCACCAGCGGCATAACTTTTAAGTTCTTCACACATATTTATTCATAGCTCTTCTATTTTCATTCCGAATGGAAACCTCACAAACGCAAGCAGAACAGCAAGTCGGTACTTTCATCAAGCTGTAAACTGAAGAATTCACAAGTTTTTCATCTATTTATAAGTCCTCTCTCTAAAAAGTCTGAAATAGTGTGAAATCTCTTGCTTATAGTGCTCTGAACATTATCAATCTTTTTGGTCATATCGGGACCTAACATGCATTGTACATCCTTCACGCAAGGTTAATTCGGTTCCTCGGCAATGGTATGGGGTTTTCCAGCTTATGCAATGTGCAAACCAACAATAAAATAATGCTTCAGTGGCATTTTCGTTTTCATTTTTGCAGACTCTTTCCATCATGCATGACCTTGCCTGAAGCAAGACGTTTGAAGGTTTGTTCGGCCTTATCGGCTAAACCAGGATGATTACTTTCCAAATGTCTTTCTAATTTAGATGGAACCAAGCACCCATTAGCAACAATTTTGTGACAATTAATACATTGGCCTTCTGGTGCCTGTTCGTTGCCAACTTAAATAAAGCCATATAACGTGAGATAGCTAGGATCATACCTTCTTATTTTTCCCCGAATTTCTTTTTGGTGAGGGACATCCTTTCTACGAATTGAGGGTGAACAACTTAGATGAGCTGGACTCGAATGGATCTCGTGGGCATTTGCTTCTCCATCTCTGCTAGTTGTCACTGAATCAGTTGATTCAGATGCTTCAGTGACTTCACTACATTTCCTTTTCAAAGATCCAGATTTTAGCCAATTTTCTATTATTCTGTAATGAAAAAAATGTCCCAAATAAAATAGAGCAAAACATTACCAACAATGAAAGGTATTTTCCAACCGTAAAAGTGCAAGATGGGGGATAAAGGGGTAGAATGCGAATACATGAAGTTGATTCCAGTTTACTCCAACTAGCCTCTTCTACTCAAATCCGCTACTACTAAATGTACTCTCACCTTCACGCTGGTGTCCCCTGTTAACCGAGCAATCCATCTGGAGATCCGGTATCAAACCTGTGTGGAAAGTTGGGTCGGGAACTGACGAGAGCGGGTGAAATGACCCTCCGAAAAGGGGGTTTGGCGTTGGACCCGTAAAACCCCATAGTTAGGAAATCGAAAGTCAAAAATGCCGGACGGAAATCTCTACGACGATCTATGCAACGAAATAAAGACCTGAATAATAGAAATAATGATCTTAATGTATTTACCTGGAACGTTCGCACACTTAACGAACCTGGAAACATCCCCAAACTGTGTGACATATTAGCACAATATAATGCTGATATTACTGCAATACAACATAGGACAAACAAGACGAAGAAAAATACAATTTCTATGATGAATTAGAAAGAACATATGACAATTGTCCTAGACATGACATTAAATTAAATTAAATGACATTAAAATAGTAATCGGTGATCTGAACGCAAAAATTGACCGCACATCGGTAGAAGGAAGAAATATATCTACCGCACATTGGTAAATATAGTTTCCATAATAATACTAATTCGAATGGACACCGAGCAGTCACCTTCGCAGCCTCTAAGAACATGATCATAGGAAGTACATGTTTTCTACACAAAAAAATGCATATGGGGCTTGGACCTCGCCTGATGACTCTGACTAATCATATAAATAAAATCATACTGAAAGCCTGGAATGAGAAACAAATCCCGGAAGAATGGTGTATTGGCATCGTTTGCCCGCTACACAAAAAGGGCGATCAATTGGAATATAGAAACTATAGGGGAATAACCCTCCTTAATATAGCATACAAAATATTTTCGAGTATTATATGGTCGCCTGAGTGCATATTCAGGGGAGCTTCTTGGCGAACATCAAAGTGGTTTTAGGCCTGGTCGATCAACAACAGACCAGATCTTTGTGCTAAGGCAAATACTGGAAAAAACCAATGAATTCAATATCGACACATACCATCTTTTCGTAGATTTTAAATCGGCCTGTGATGATAGTGTCCTAAGAAATAAATTGTATAAAGCCATGGATGAATTCCTCGTCCCCGATAAACTGATAAGATCGGTTAAGGCTACAATGCGTAAAGTTGTTTGCAAAGTCGAAATACAGAGCGAACAATCACAGGCATTTGAAACGCATGTTGGGCTGCGACAGCGAGATGCGCTGGCGTGTTTCCTTTTCAACATAGCTATGGAAAAGGCCGTCAGGGATGCCCAAATAGAGAACAGAGGAAACATTTTTAATAAATCATCCCAAACTTTGGCATATGCAGATGATGTTGACCTAATTGCCCGCACAACACGCAAGCTAGTAGAAATGTATACCACCTTGTCAAATGCCTAAAAAATATGGGCCTGCAAGTAAATGAGGAAAAAACTAAGATAATTGATAATGGCATCAATATCCAACAATAGAGCCAGAAATATGGGCCACCAATTCACTGTTGATAACTCTAACAAATTCGCATACTTAGGCTCCCTGATCACCAAGGAGAACGTCATGACAGAAGAAATCAAGCGAAGAATAATCCTAGCAAACAAATGCTATTTTGGATTGAGCAGACATATGAGAAACTTGAGCCAAAAAACAAAAATAATCATATACAAAACCCTTATACAACCAGTGTTGACTTATGGATCGGAGACATGGTCCATTTCCAAGGCAGATTAAATCCTGCTTATATTTGAACGAAGGATCCTGAGAAGAATATTCGGTAGCATCTTTGAAAATGGTGTTTAGAGAAAGAGGTACAACTACGAGATATATCACAGATATAAACATATATTTGGTGGTAAAGACGTAGTATCTCATAAAAATAGGAAGACTAAGATGGGCAGGACATCTGGCAAGCTCACAGCAGAACAACCCTCCTAGAAGAATCCTTGTCACAACCTGTGGTAACTGGGGTAGACAAAAACTCAGATGGAGGGATGGTGTAGATGAGGATGGTAGAAAAATAGGCGCAGCAAACTGGCAACAGTTGGCAATGGATAGAACTGACTGGCGTAATAGACTTGGGAAGGTAGAGGCTATTTTATAGGGCTGTAGCACCAATGATGATGATAAATAGTGCAACACATATTTTATGGAAAAATAGCAAAAAAAGTACGTAATATTATATGTATTAATTGTAATGAACATAATTATTACTTACGTCGTCACTTTTATTCTGCAGTTATATCTAAAACTTCCACTTTGAAATCTAACTCTAATTTTTACAAAACTCACTTATCGGCAGCAAGAATTAAACTGTGGAATGAATGCAGGTAGCAGTCGCGTCGTCGTTCGAATTCGGCTGTTTGTTTCTCAGTCGCCATCGAGAATACAAGTATAGTGCGTGCAAGCACTCCTGACCACGGCGCAGTAGACGAAATTTGGTTTAGTCCCCACTTCCATGCGAAACGCATTGTACTATGCACTGTATAATTCCACTTACAATATAACCTTTCTGTCTTTACCTGAATTTTGACTCCACCTTCGCGCGGCTCCATGGTCAGGAGTGCTTGAACTACCTTTACAAATAGTCAACATGCTTGAATTGGACAGTGGCGCAGCGGCCGTTTGTTCGACTTTGTTCCACGTCACCCTTGGCAAATGCTTGAGGCATCCCCAGTGCCACGTCACCCACTTTTGAGAACCTCTGGTCTAGCTTTTATTTCTTTATTTTTCTTCATACTTGCTGTGTTGCTGTGCACAGAATAAGGTATAAAAACTACAATTGGTATTTATTCTTTATTAATTGCTTTAATATTTATCTTTATTTACCTTTATAAAAATTCTAAAATTACCTTCATTCATTATTAACTTAAAAAATGTATTTATAACATAGAACACACCTAAAAAATTATTTATCAGACTACACCAATACGAATATTAATCATTACCGCGAAAGAAACTGAAAAAAAAAAAACATATTTTAAAGGAAATATCTGTTACAGAACACTCAAATTGAAGGGAATGACATGATAATAATTGGACACAACTTTATTCATGATTTAAATATGTGAGAGATAATATATGCGGGTATGAATTAAGATCTTTTTTATATGTATAGTCTGTTCCGTACATATAAAATAGTTATGAAAACTTTTATAAAGTGAAACACCAAAATAATTTAACGTGTGTGTGCACTTTTTGCAATTTGCTCCTTTAATACCAAAATACTATTCCTCTGTTCAGGTGGAAGCATAGAGATCTGTTCATCTGACAGCTGCAAAACTTGCATAATGAGCGCGGCCTGAAAAAAAAATACAAATTAGGACTAAAAATGATACATTTTGTTGCCGTTAATGCAAAATGTCATATGTTAAAAAATGCACTTTCAGGAGACAAAAAAAACTGAATATTACTATGTGAGTAGTGTTTTTCTCTCTAGTGACTCGATCTATAAGGAATTGAAAATCTTCGATACTTTCAGTCATGTTAGCGGTGTAATCTGCATATCTGATGCTGTTAATAGTTTCTCCCCCGATTCGAACTCCACATTGCCCTTCCAAGGCTTCGTTAAAAATTATTTCTGAGTAAGCGTTAAACAAAGTTGGGAACAACACACAACCCTGTCTAACACCTCTCTGAATACAAATTTTGTCTGTTTCTTTGCCGTCTACTAGAATAGATGCTTCTTAATTCCAATATAAGTAGATGTTATAAAAGTCTCAGATCTTTATCATCTATTCCAATCATTTCTAGTTATTCAAACAGCCTACCATATTGAACCCTATCAAACGCTTTCTCAAAATATATAAAACAGACGTAAATTGGTTTTTGTACTTCCCATGATCATTGAAGTAGTGTAAGCATTGAGAACAAATCTTCCCTTGTTCCCAATACTTCTCTGAAACCGAATTGTTTATTTCCCATTGTGTCTTCACATTTCTGCTTGATTCTATAAGAATTATCCTAAGAAGTAGCTTGAGAGAGTGAGTCATGAGACTAATTAGACTTAAGTCTTTACATGATGATGTATTAGGTTTTTTTGAAAGTGGGATAAATGTAGACTCCAACCATATTTGTGGCAGTGTTCCAGTTTCGTATATGTGGTTATAAATGTTTGTTAGTTCTGAGACATTGTCGTCGTCTAGAAGTTTGAGGACCGTCTGATGGTATTTGATCAGGGTCTGGAGATTTCATATTTTTGATTTGTTTGGTGGCTTTTTCTACTTCTGCCTTTAAAATACTCGGACCAGTATTCGTATATTTTGTGGTATTAAGTATCCAGGAAGAGCTCTTTTATGTATGTTTTTATACATTATGTATATGTTTTGATTATTTTTAATTTTAGTTTGAATCCAGCACAGAGCAGATTATGATTAGTTGCTGCGTCTGCACTTGGTTTTGCAGGTGTAATACTGTTTCTAAATCTTCTGTTAATGATAATGTAGTCGATATGATTTCTGACTCCCTTTTACCTTTTCTTCTTGATCATCTGAAGATTTCCAGGTATATAGTCGTCTTTTAGGTTGTTGAAACAAAGTATTTGTTATAATGCAATTCTCTTCTTGGCATAACTGTATTAGTTTCTTTATTTTTTAGTGTTAGTGCAAATAAATTAAAAAATAGTGTTAAAATAACTATAAAATAAAAACTAAATAGAATAAGTGTTAAAAGACTGTAAACAAATTAAAAATAAAAACATTCCAATATTTTAATATTCTAATTTTACCTTTTCTTGGTCCGAAGCCCCGGCATTTGCAACATTTGGACTGGCCGTTGCAGGAGTAGGAGTTGGGACCGGTTGAGGCGTAGGAGCTGGTCTCGTCACAGGAACTTGAGGCTGAGGAGGCATTACGGGTCTTGCATTTGGAGCTGGTATAGGTAGTGCAGCTGGAGGAGGCACTGAAATAATTAGAGAGTTCTTTAAGTATAGTTCAAATATTGTAGCAGTAATATATTTACCCATAGTCTTCTGGCGTGGATCTATGCGTGCTTGTCTTGGATCTCCTCCGAACGCCTGAGGACCTCTAGGATCTCGAACAAAGCTAAACGACATGAAATTAATTACAGTTATGATATCAGAAAGTACGCTTTTATTTAAACAGCGAAAGCGGAGCAATAACTAACAAGTTATTTATTACCCTGTTGCTCTAAATTTCCAAGTAAAAATATGTCATCTATGTATGTAGAGCATAAATCACATTGTTACCAATAAGATTTGCAATAAGCGATTCCCTTCGCTTTGATAATACCATAATGAATTTTAGAGTAAAGCTTAAAAGAATAATATAGTTGTGGGTATTTTAGAAATGTTAGTTGGGTACTATTTGCTCTTGGTTATAAGGTTCAACGTTTTGCTGCAAGCGGTTAAATAACAGCCCTGAGAGGCCGTCTTCTTGCCTTACACCGTTATGAGCTCATGTCAGTCTCCATATTTTGTATTACATTACTTTAGTATCAGTGAGAGTAATCTGCACCGATCTGACTAGTTTTTTCGGTATACCCATAAGCACTAGGGATTCATATAGTTTTTTCCTGCTTACAGTGTCAAAGGCTGGTTTGAAATCAATAAATAATCTGTTTATGTTGATGTTGTATTCATGGCTCTTTTCTAACACTTGTCTTAGCCGTAATCCGTACTGGTAGTCAGCAATGATCTCTCCCGTTAAGGGCGTCAGTATGTTATATAGTATAGAAGAAAACACTTTGTATGTTATGTTTAATAACATAATTCCTCTACAGTTAGAGCATTCTTGCTTATTACCTTTCTTCTGAATGAGCATTCCATTCTTCGGGGATTGTTTCATCATCCCATAGTGCTGGTCATCCGTTTTTAATAATACAACTGTTATTGCATCAGTACCAGGTGCCTTGATATTTTTTAAAGCACTTATACTTCATCTACTACTACATCTTCACAAGGACCATGAATTTCCCTCTCAGCTGGGAGGACTTCAGGTGCACCTTTCTGAATTCTCATGATTTAGTAGTTCATGGGAATATTCTTTCCACCTGCTTAGAATACTATTATCATCAGTTAGGGCATTTCCTTCTTTATCATCTTTCACTGGGCTACTCTTTTGTTATAAAAACTTTTGGTAAACAAAAATAGTATCAGTAAAGAGTATCAGTGTAAATATTCTCATGACAGAGGTACTGTAGATCACTACTATTTCACGCATCAAGCTATAAAAACATGGTTAGAGTATGATGTCGACTTGCATATGCTGTTTAGAGATTTTCACATGGCATTTGATCTCGTAATAAGAAGTAAACATGTATAAATCATGCAAAGTTTTGGTGTACCGATAAAATTCGTGAGTTATGACGGTTAAAGCGTGCGTAAGTCTTTTTCGATAAATATGGGAGTGCGGCAAAGGATCCTGTCTGGTGACATTTTTAACAGGATTTTTCATGTAGCAATAAAAGGATCGAGGTCAAGTGGGATCATTGTATGAAAGTCATATATAACAAGCACATTTCGTGGAATATTATAAGCAATATAGAATTTCAAGAGTTATTGAGAAGATCACATAGTTAGGTTTGTAAAGTCAAAAAATCTGTCATGGCATGATCACATGGAAAGAATGCCCAAAAGGAAAAGTTTGAACGAAATAATGGAAGGAGAGGTAGAGCTAGAACCCTTTGCAGAGCGTAGAGGAACATTTGAAATCTATGCCGATCAGACGGTGTAGAGATACTACAAAGAGAAGTAGAGACTGGAGGCCAATTGATAAAGAGGTCAAAACACGATGTGTCTTAACACCGAGAATGTATGCATGTAGATATGTATGCATTAGCTTAAAAGTTATTTATGCTTGTAGTTAAAGAATTTGAGCCAGTATACATATATCGACAATAAATATAATTATTTACATTCGTCATTAAATATTATCAAAAAATTTAAGGTTAACAAATACAGCAAATTAATGTTTATTTATTATAAAGCAATTATTAGAAAAAAAAAAACAAATCTACAAAAAATGTAAAAGTTTGTCTATAATTCTAAATTCTAAATGAACAACTCTAATATTTACATTGTATTAAAACTGTGCATATATTAAAACAAAAATTTATTTTAAAATTGATTTAGAAATATTTGACTTCTCAAATACTTTTTGTTTATTCTTGATTTATTCTTAACAAGATAGATGATATCTTGAGTATACTGCGAAAAGTGTCCAAGTCAAGTTTTTAAAAATTCAACTAAATGTGTCCCTAACTATGTCCATAAATCAAATGTGATTCAAAGTAGATGTTATTCTAATATTAAAATAGCGTTGGATCTGGTAGACTTAAGTATATATTACCATTGGGACAGTGAAGTTGAATTGTTAAAAACTTGACTTTTTTCGCAGTATAGCCACGATATAGAAACAAGCTTAATAAATGTTCATGTGCCCACAGAAGAAAAGGATGACAAGGAAGGTGACGAATTTTATACAAAGCTGGAAAATATATTTGTAAATAGGTACTCCAAAGTTTGATGTAATAATAGTTTTTTAGATGGAAATCCAAAGTAACTTTAGGAACCGATAAAAGGATAATACAGACTTTCACAAAATAACTAACGAAAATGGTGCAAGAATAGTCACTTTTTTCAATAGAACAAAAATTAAGTATTATGAGAACTTTCTTCAGACACCAGAATAAATATAAAGAATTTTGGATATCCTCAAACGGAAAATAGACCAAGAAAATAAACCACTTTTTAGTAAAAGAGTAATTCAAACAAAATGTAACACATGCAAGTGTGTATAAATACAGATATGGGATCACATCATTAACTGACAGTGTTAAAACTACAAGAAGACCATACAAATGGAAATAGGTTGAAGAATAAATAAAAAAAAAGAGGAGAATGTATGTGTTAATGCTCCTAACAGAAAACCATGAGGTAGGAGAAACCTCCAAACGAACTGTAAAAAAAACTAATAGGAAGCAATAATTGTGGAACTTAATCAAAAGTAAGAAAAAAGGGTTCCAGAGGGACAAGATGATAAAATCTACACTCGGCTGGATGCTTATTTGGGATTAGGCACTCAAAAGTACATATTTAGAAACTCCTTTAGCCAAATTTTTGGCTTCCTAGGTGGCGCCAGGAGTCCCTTATCGCAAAAAATGTGATTTTTCGAAAAAAAAAAAGAAAAATTAAAATCCTGAGCGATCCTTTGCTTTCAAAATTCTCGAACATACATTTTAATATTCAAAAACCCTTTGATTTTTTTCAGATTTGTTAGGTCAAAAGTGAGCTCAGGGAAAATAATAGAATTTTTCAAAAAAAATTTAAGTTATGTAGGCAATTTTTGGCAAACTTCTAAATTTTTTTCTTTTTTTTTAATAGCGGGGTTAGAATTGTCATTTTCGCTCCGGAAAATCCTCAGAATTAAAAAAAAATCGCTTTTTGGCGTTTTTCCCATGGTTTTAGCACATAAGTAATGTATGTAAATAAATAAGGATTTTTGACATATATTTTTTTGTTATTTTTTATAGCGCGATACAGTTTGCCATTTACAGACCAGAACATGCTCAAAATAAGACAACCCACTTTTTGATATTTTTTCCTCTATTTTAAGCACATAAACTCATCTAAATGTGACAAATAAATAACGATTTTTTTTTACCACCCCTTTATTCGGGTGGTGATTATCATTTAAATATTTTCAAACAAAAACACTCTGTTTTTTTTTCAGATTTTTGGATCAAAATTGAGCTTATGAAAAATATTTGAATTTTTAAAAGAATTTTTAGGTTATGTACAATTTTTTAAAAACTTCTAAATAATTATTTTTCATGTATTTGTTTCCGTCTTTCTCAATGACAAGGCTAGATTTGCCATTTTCTCTCAGAGAGAAGACACAAAAATGGGAAAGTTACTAGTCATTTACTATAAAACAAAAGTCCTTTAAAGAAATTGTTTTGTTATTAACAACAATTATCATATTTTCTATATTAATCTGACGTTTAGCAGGCCTAACATATGATAATCTCATCATTGTTATCTCCTCTAGCATTAAATAAAATAAAAATATCATAGACAAACCTATACAATTTGCATTATTACTTTGCAACAAAATGAAGCAATGTTAATTCAGTTAATGGTTAAATTTTACGAATTGTATTTGTTGTCTTAAAAAACATTAGTATTTTTGATACACATACCTATCACCCTTCATATCTCCTTGTTTAAGAATACTGTAAATTTAAAATTCTTAAATAATAGCAAGATTACAATTTTTATATTTCTTACCTTTCTCCAATAGTAGGTGGTAAGGGATTTTGAATAGCAGATGGCAGTTGTCTCATATCCTGGTCACCCATTGGCCTTAATCTCAGATCTGGCACAGCACCAATGGATCTCAGATCTATATCTTGGCCTAAATATCACATAATTTAGAAAAATTGTATTTGTATTGTTTGTGTATAATAAAAAAAATCTTATCGCATATTAAGTATCTATTCGAATTCATTATACATTGGAAAAAAGAGAAGTAGTGAACAGTAAAAATGAGATGTGGAATCAAAGATGTGCAGAGATGAATAGGTATAAGGGTGGAACAAGAGTAGGGCAAGTGTGGAAGGTGATAAGGTCTAACTTACAGTTAATAGATCTGAAACAGTAGAAATACCATTATGAGTGACAAAGGATATATGTAAATTCCAAGAGATCGAAATGGAAGAAATATCCGAACATACACAAATAATTGAGATAATAACCCGAGAGTTAAGCGATGCCCTCAAAAGATCGAAAAAACGGTAAAGCCACAGGACCTGGAGACATCCTAATTGAGTTAGTAAAGTATGGACCAAAAATATTACATGAGATGTTGGTTCAACTATTTAACAAATACTTCAAAGGACAAAATATCCCAAAAATGATGATTGGAATGTTGGATACATAACCTCAATATACAAGAAAGGGGATAAACGCAAATTCTCTAATTACTCCCAAAACAACTACATGATTTGTCTAATTTATGGTCTGAATTGATCAGAGAGTATTATAACGCTTATATTGCTTTTTGACCAAAATATTCATTATGATGACAAATAATTTTGGAATTTCGTTACCTTATTAATGTTCTCAGGTATTCTCAAGTATTTAAAGTCTAAAGGATAACTTGAGCTATGGCTCTAATAAGAACTATAACAAGTCTAAAGTTAAAAATTACTGTCCTATCAGCAAGTATGATTCCCAAGTCATTTGAACTACTTGTGACAAAATTTCTTTTTTGGGAATGTAAGAATGTTATCATTCATGAGCAGCATCATTTTTAAAACTGGTAAGTCCACAGTAACTAATCTCTTGTTATTTCAAAATGATATAATTAATTCAATATGAGTGGCAGTCAAATGAATGCTATTTATACTGATTTAAATAAAGTCTTTAATAGGATAAATCATGCTATTATTATCAGGAAAGTAGATAGAATGAATGAATGAGTTATAAAATTAAGAACCACTTATCTTGCATTGGATTTTTAGTTTTCCAAATTTTTATTATTTGCAAATGATCTTAAGTTATATGAAAGAGTAAACAGTGTTAATCATCAGTGGCGTTACAGCTCTTTATGAGCCAAAGCCTTCTTCAGAGCAATCCCCCATTCACCTGTCTCTGGCAACTCTTCTCCATGCTCTAATTCCGATAGGACTTCAAATCATTTTTTAGGTTGTCTTGTACCTAAGTCTCGGTCTTCCTCTTCTTCATTGTCCGATCGGCTCTTTGGTCAAAAACTTTTCTGACTATGGCATCTTCCTCTCGTCTGATTACATAACCATATCCATCTGAGGCGTGCTCCTTAATGAATTTTACAACGTCAGGTTCTCTAAAACTTCTATGCAACTCAAAATTTGTAACACCTGTGCCACAAACCTTGTTCTTTTATGCCTCCATATATTTGTCTTAGTATTTTTCGCTCAAAACGTTTGAGCCACATACCAACCCATTCATAAAATTACTAGTTGTGATTCCCTGCAAACTTTTTATGAGTTTTTTTCTTGATAGAATACATACCTTGACAAAATACATGCTGAAACCTCATAACACAAAAATTTACAATTTTTAGATTTATGAGGATTTGGGTTAAAAATATTGTTCCGAATGTTCTGGCAAAACCCCAGATTAATGAAAACTATGTTTTGGAATGTTTTTTTCAAGTTATAATTAACTAAATACTAAGAAAGAAAAAAATTATGTAACCATGTATGGAAGCTTTTTTAGCTCTCCTGAAAAAATTTAAATTTTAATGTATGAGTTTTTCAACATTTAGCAGTTGATATATTAACTTACCTACAAATACTTGATTCTGGGATGGATGTATAACAGGAGCAGGAACAGGCTGAAATTCCTGTCTTGGTGGTTGGACAGGTGCTGGAGGCTCCCTGTACTGATTACTAATTGGTACTTGAACAGGAACATTTTTGTCTCCAGGCATCAGTGTTGCTGGCACTTGGTTTACAGGATGAAGTAAACTCTAAAATATATAATTTTATTTTAAATCACTTTATAATATATTCACAGACAATACTTACAACTGCAGTAGCTGCGTCAATAATTTTCATTACAACTTGAGCTTGTAAAAGAGCATAGGCAAGCTGTGGATTCTGCAAAAGCATCTGTCTTGCTTCTGATGGATTATTCTAAAATACAGAAAATAACTTTATTTATACACCTATTAAGAGTATATTTCTATAGTATCTTCAAGACAGGAATGATGCTGAAATGCTTTTAAAATATTCAAATCATTTGTCGTGATGCTACATCTGATACTTTGAATAAATTTCGCTGCATCACCAATATTCCATTTCGATACCTAAACTCCAAAACTTCTTAACTGAAAATCTGGGTTTCTGGATTTAAGTTTAAAA